GCTTCTATTCTCGTACTGCTCTACATTTTCAGCAAATGGTTCCAAAAAAGAACATAATTGGCCTCAGTGTGCTACTGGGGGGCTACTCATTTGCTGCTTATGTCACTCATTGGATTTATTCNCAAGGGATTGATTTTATTCGTGATAATTGGCTATATTTACTGATATACTTAATCACTTCTGGTTTCATTAGTTTTGCTATTTTATATCGTATTGGTCCAGCTCATGTTCGCACTCTACAATTGATACAATGGCTCCTTCAGTTCATTAGTTTGACTCTTCTCTTCTTCTCCTTCTCTCAAATACAAGTCATAGCTGTCATTGCAGTGCTGGTCTTACTAGTACATTACAATACATCACTCTTTTCAGGTGTATTAGGACCACCCAAAGCATTGTAAGTTATACAAAAAAATTTGTGTCCTTGTATATTTAGAATGGATTACTCTTTTGTGTTCAAAAGCATTTTGACTTCATCCGCGATCATTTTTATGAAGCTTAAAAGCTTGTATTTATTTCCTAGGTTTTTTCGCATGTTTCTCTTTTTGCAACCCAACATTCAAAAGAAGTTGTTGACTAATGAAGAATATGAAGAGCAAGGAAGGGTTGAGACTGAGAAAGCTTTAAAGGAATTACGCAAATATTGTCGATCTAATCCTGAGTTTTGGGATAATAAACTCGTAAATATCAATAATCAATCAAGGTGTGTATAAGTAGTCCAATTCTGAGTGCACATTGATAATACCAATATCAATCATCATTTTAACAATGTATTATTAATCTTTGTCAGGTTATTGGATTTTATGTCAGGCAAGGATCATGTACCTAATAGTGAAAAAGAAAGTCATGATAGAGTGTACCCATCTTGGTATGATGACAGTGATGATGATGATGATGATGATGATATTGATAGTTCAACTGCTTCTCCTCAAGTCTCATCCTCATATAACTCGCCCTCACCCTCCCCTAGACACCAACAATATCACCATTATTATTATAATTAATCTAAATTCTTTGGACTTTATAGGATATTATTTTTGTCTCTTAAGATAATAGTGTAATGGACTTTCTGATGCAACAGTTCAATATACTCAGTTCATGCCATTGTCACGACTCGAAATCTGTGACAAGCAAAGAAACCAATAGTTCCATTGTCATGCATGAAATCCTTGACAAGCAAAAACCTACTTGTTCCATTGCCACAAAATCTGTGACAAATTTTGGACCATCACAGTAACAATTTTTTAGATGCTATCATGCTACCCTCTCATTTATCTTCAATTCCTGACCTTGTTGATCACTGTAGTTAACAGTTACACCCCCAAAAAGACATGAAGGCAGGGAGTATTTGTGACCTGATGCTGTTCTTCTTGGCTGCCCTTTTGTGCTTGAATGCTTTTCAATCTATTTACAAGGTAACATTGAACAACCCAGATACCAACTGTTCTCTTCAATGTGATTGCCCATTGTCCTCAAATCAAACCACAGACCTGCAGTCATCAACCTCTTCTGCTTATGAAGTCAGCAGCTCTGCCATAAACTTTGTACCACCAGGTAGCTCTTCATTTAGTCTGGACCATTATACTGCTTCAGGTAGAAAAACAACTCTTACAC